AGTGTTACAGATTCACATTTATTTTTATTTATTTAGTTTGATTTTATTTGAGTTTATTTCCAGCTGCAACCCAGTGCTGGGAAACACCCATACACACATACACTATTGCCAATTTAGCTTATTCAGTTCACCTGTAGCACAGTCTTTAGACAGTGGGGAAAACCAGAGCACCTGGAGGAAACCCATGCCAACACGGGGAGAACATGCAAACTTCACACAGAAATGCTAACTGACCCAGCCGGGACACAAACCAGTGACCTTCTTGCTGTCGAATAACATATAGTAACTAAGTATTAAAAAAATAAACAACTCTTTAGCAGTTGTACAATGTTGTACAATCAATGTTGTAAAATAGGATGTCAAAGTCACTGGCTGCGTCCGAAATCGCCTACTAGTCAGTAGGCACTACATTTAAATTTGAATTTGCTACTCGACTGTTAGAAAAGTACGTTCTATATAGTATGAATGTGAGTAGTATAAATGGAACTCGAATATACTACATCCACCATTTTGTCTAGATCATGTGATCTAGCTGCGTCAGTTGCATCGATTTACTCCCAATTATTAATTCTCTCGCAAAGCGTTATGATATAGTATTGCGTCTGTAACGTCTAGATAGGATACGTGGCCGGCCGACATGCACATATATGCACATCAATACAGCATAATTTTTTATGTCACTCACTGTATAACAATAATTCATATTATTACATTATTGTTATGGTTGAGGTTAGGGTAAACGATAAAAAATACTGTTTATTGGGTGATTTAATAAATAACATGAATAATACTCGGTACAACTACTGTTTTTAAGTACTGTAATGGTTGGGTTTAGGGTTGGGGTGGACAATAATAAAATACAATTCATTATTGTACATTTAATAAATGATATAAATGATTCCTGTAACTTCCGCCCACAGCTCTTTCTGATCTAGCAAGAACCGCGTTGTGACCTTCGGATGCACACTTTTAAGATCTTGCTGGAAGTACATGTCTACATAACTACAGGATCGACTTTCTCACAATTTTTTATTTTTTAAAAAAGTTTTTACAATCCCATGACAGTGACAGACATTATTAAACGGGCTCCTGCGATGTGATACATAAAATGCGAAACAAATATTTGTTGTGCTTAAGCAGTTTTTCCTTTTGTAAATATTTTTTTAATGATTAGGAAATTAAGCTTTAAAGAATGTTTCCCAATGTTTTACAACTCTGTTGAGACATACCAAAAGCACACGTTATGACCCCTTATCTTACTTTAAAAAGTATGAATGGTGTGCCTTCAAAGACATGATATAATATAATATAATATAATATAATATAATATAATATAATATAATATAATATCTAAAGGGCATCACGGTGGTGCAGTGGGTAGCGTGATCGCCTCACAACAAGAAGGTCGCTGGTTCGAGGCATTTCTGTGTTTAGTTTGCATGTTCGCGTGGGTTTCCTCCGGGTGCTCTGGTTTCCCCCACAATCCAAAGAGATGTGCTACAGGTAAACTGGGTAAGCTAAAATAGTCTGTAGTGTATGTGTGTGAATGAGTTTGATGGTGGTTTCCCAGTGATGGGTTGCAGCTAGAAGGGCATTCGCTGCTTAAAACATATGCTGCATAAGTCGGCGGTTCATTCCGCTGTGGCGACCCCGGATAGATAAAGGCATTAAGCCGTAAATAAAATGAATAAATGAATAACATGTCAAAATTATTAGCCCTACTGTAAAAAAAAAAAAAAAAAAAGATGTTTAACAGAGTAAGAATCACAGTATTTTCTCTAATACTGTTTCTTATAATAGTCTTATTTGTTTTATTTTGGCTAGAATAAAACCAGTTTTTAATATATTTTGGCCATTTAAGGTCAAAGTTATTAGCCCCCTTAAGCAAGATTTTTTTTCAACTGTCTACAAAATCCATTATTAAACAATGACTTGCCTAATTAACCTAGCTAAGCCTATAAAATGTGACTTTAAACTGAATATTAGTATCTAAAATATTTTGTACTGTCATCATGTCAAAGATAAAAAGGATCAGCTATTAGAAATGAATAATTAAAACTACTATGTTTTGAAAGGTGTTGATAAAATTGTCTTCAATCATACGTTTTAAATATAAATACAGTATATCCTTAGACCTGAACTTGTTTATTTGTGTGCTTTGGTTCCGATGTAAAACTGTGACGCACTCTTGACTGAGCAGAAGCTTTGATGGTCATCAAAAAGCAATGTTCTCACAGGTGTTAATGGAAGTGATGACAAGGACTTGATATCCAAGCAATGGAGACACCCAAGGGGTTAAGACAAAACATCCTCTGAGCGGAATAGTTTCCTCCCACAACACCTGCCTTCCCCTTCCTCCACGTTGGCTATTCGGGACATTATATTATGATCATTGAAAATGAGGAAGTGCTCTGATAGACTGACTAAGTGCTTGCAATAATATTCTGTTTTTACATTTCCAGTAATGTAGACCTTAAATAAATCTCAATCTCAATTTTTGAAAACCTTTTATGCCCAATACCTTCTGAACGGTTTATGCATCAGTCATCTTCTAAAATGTAATGCCTTACAAAAACTGATGTTAACATGGCTATGAGAACCAATCAGGCCATACACATAGTGAATTTGTTGTTTAATAAAAAATGTTTTATAGTCAGCTGTGACATGCAAACTAACAATTAAAAAATCTTACTGCTACTTCACTTCTTATACACGGCACCAGTGCTCAACAGAAATGACTGTGATTGGTTGTGAAGGTCATCAGTTCTCTGCTCTTCACCGAGTGAGACATACAAGGACACTGGAGCGTTTTATAGCCGTGAAGGACTGTCGATTCATCAGCGGATTGCTCGTCTATGTTTGCACTCGATAAACATCGGTGAAGAGCGGTGAACTGATGACTTTCACAGCCAATCATAGTAATTTCTGTTGAGCACTGGTAAACAAAATGCCAAATCAGCGCTGTTTGAGAATGCGCTCAACAGTGCTTAAATGTTAGCAGGAAATTGACAGTTTTTTAAATTTTTTAATTTCAGTACCGAAATTCAGTATCGTAGCAAGTCTAATATAGTAGAAAGTATCAGTTTGTTAACTTGAGTTTGATAAATGGTATTTAAAATGGGTGTAAGGGAAAGAAAATGTCAGCTAACCAGTATCATTTCCCTTAACTTAGCTGAAAACGAGCTCTGAAATGTCTTTTTATTTTCACTATCCATTCAAAACGGACCTTCGGGTCACTCGAAAGGTGGTGGAATTATCAATTTGTGTCACTTTCTCTTCACTGATAAGATATACAACCAAGTACACAACATTATGCCATCGCAGACGCTGTTCCGGTGTGACTCCAGGCGATACTTCCGGATGTCTTGCCACCACAGCCTCACTTTCGCTTTTAAAATGTCGGCCACGTGAAATCAGTCTATATAGCCAACAAAATTCATTCATTTTCCCTCGGCTTAGTCTCTATTTCAGAGATCGCTACAGCGGATGAAGTGCCAACTATTTTGGTTTTATGCAGCGAATGCCCTTCTGGCCACAATCCAGTACTGGGAAACACCCATACACACTCATTCACACACACACTCAAACGTTACGGCCAATTTAGTTTATTCAATTCACCTATACATGTCTTTGGACTGTGAGGAAAACTGGAGCACCAGGAGGAAAACCACGCCAACACGGGATAGAACATGCAAGCTCCACACAGAAACGCTAATTGGTACAGCCGAGACTCGAACCAGCGGCCTTCTTGCTGTGAGGCAACAGGGCTAACCACTGAGCCACTGTGCCAGCTAGCCAACAAAATGAAAACTTAAAACGATCACCTGCATTGGCTTTACTCACTTTTATTAAGAGAAATAAATAATCTTTTACAGTGTAGGCATCATTTAAAATAAGTTGAAACGACACAATTCTAAAGTTATTTTAGAACAACTAAATTGTTTTATGTTTAATCTACTTAAAATTGTACAAACTATTAACTTAATTTGTGTTGGGACAACATAAAGGAATTTTGTGGGACCCTGCATTCTTTACAGTGTACATTGTAAAAATAAATTGTCCCACACAATTCATTCATGTTGTCCCAACACAAATTGACTATTCATTCATTATTTATTGCCATGTCAGCTACTAAGGCTATTTTCATGGTAAGAGCATTTCAGTAATTAACAAACATCAACAGTAAAAACTAAATAATTGAATACACAGTTTAAATAAGATTTTTCTGGTTAATGCATGTTAAAAATTCCAATACTTTTTTCTGGTGTCACTTTGTTAAAAATGTCCTTAAGAGAGTTCTCATCATAAAAAGTCTTTCTGGAGTCATTAAAAGCAGGGCAGTCCAGTTTTACGGTCCATGGGGTTTTACAGTGCAAACATTGGATAGGGTCTTCATCTTTGAGTAAAAAGTTATGTATTAATCTTGTATGTCCAATACGACATCTGGTAAAAATTACTTGATCAGCTCGTTTCTTAAAATGTCTTACACCTCTGTGTGTTTCACAAATTGACTAAGTTAATGAAACAAATTAAAATGGATTGATCATAAAACAATTAAGTAATTCCAAAACACCTCAAGTATCGTGTTGTTTTAGCTCATTTTAAATAAGTAGTTTGAACAAGCAGCAAAAGTCATGTTTGAGTGTATGGTGTGCCACTTCTGAAGCTGAATTCTTTCATTTATTATGGCATTGATTTAGTTTAGTAGTATCCTGTAAGGGAAACACCAATCAACCATCGTGTTCTCATTCTTTTCATCATGCCTGACCCACTGCCTTAGTTATTATTGGCACAGATACAGGCGAGAGATAGCATAATACGAATTTAATCAAAGAAGCCACTCAGATTATGGGAGGAGTCAGAGTTATTCACAAAATACTGTTAGACGGATAAGGGATGACTATAAGCAGACTGGGGAGGGGGAAACAATACGAGAGAGTGTTTGTCACCGTCTCCTCCTCCTTCTCATGATATAAATGAAGCTTACACAGTGCGAGCACAATTCCTGAACAGGAGATTCAACAGGATACACAGACTACAACTCAACATATTCATTCATTCAATGAATATTAACACCTCTAATACAGGAAATAACCAATACAATCATATACACGAGCAGTTTTTATATCTTTAGAGCAGTTTTTATATCTTCAGAGCAAATATGTTGAGATCATGGATACTATTTCTAAGTTATTGCCTTAGTGCCGGGAAAGCATTCACGACTAATTCGGATGCAACAAGAAAGCAGCAGTACCAGATCCAGAACGGGCCGTGCACGTACACCTTTCTACTGCCGGAATCGCAAAACTGTGGAGGCCCTTCAAAAACCTACACCGAACAAGTGCAGAGAGATGACCCGGTTGACTGGAACAGACTGGAGCAACTAGAGAGCATCATTGAGAACAACACACAGTGGCTGCAAAAGGTAAGTAAACGTGATTAATTTATTTATTTTGAAAATACAAATACATTTTAGCAAAATCAATATCAATACATATTGGTATTTTAACTATCAGTGGTGTAAAGTAACTAATTTCAAATACTTAAACTACTGTAATTGAGTAGTTTTTCTCAGGAATCAATTCGTTTTTAAAAATGTGTGCATTTAGTTTCCCTTGAGTACATTTTTAGTGCAGTATCTGTACTTTTACTCCACTCCTTTCCTTCATCCTGCAGTCACTACTTTATTTTTTCTTGTCTATGGGAATTAGAAAAATCAGTCCTGTGATTCCTGTCCAATCAAATCACACATTTGAGGTAAATCGCCTCATAATGAACTAGCTCAAGACATGGGCGATTTATAAATGCAGCAAACTGGAAGTAAACATGTAAACATTCAAAATCCAAGGTCCAAGAAGATGTCCAAAATCTTTACATGCACAGACCCAGAGACATGTCATGCATTCCTATTTGATGCATGTCACCAGGGCTTGACATTAACTTTTTTTGATCAACAGCCAGTGTGGCTATAGTTTTCCAACCACTCGCCGTTTTCACAAGCCAATCTTTTGTTGTTGGGAAAATAGATTTTTTTTATGCATAAATATGACTTGCTAAAAATACTTGATTTAGATTGTCTGGAATGTCCACACGCCTCCTCATTCATTTCACTTTTTGTGTGTGTTGTGTATGAGCTTGCTCAGTGGGCATAAGCACATAGGTCATGGTTTCGTAGTGTTGCATTACAATTAGTTTTTATTTCACATCACTTTTTTAAAGCTCAAAAGATTTACCAAATGTATCTCTGACACCAGTAAAAATAAATAAGTAATTATTTCTTAGCCACAAATATTAAATGTGTCAAAATAAAGCAAAATATAGCTGTATACTATACTTTGTATTTAACAAAACATTAAAAAAAAAAAAAGTTTATACCAGTTAACTTTAAAGGAAATTAAAGTCCTATATTCTGTTCAAATAATGGTTAAAGCGAAAGCAACCAGAGCTGCGTTCAAAAAGACCAATCTGGAGCTCTTGAAAGCAGCAGGACAGTGGGTGCATGGACATAACTTTTGGTCTAGTCTATTTGAAAGAGAACCGATCACACCAGTTGCTTTCCAGGCAGGGTTGTTTTAAGCAAGGAAACGGGAGCGTGCACATGTTTTAAACAGTCATCATAATCAGCTGTTGGTGATAGTGGTTATCCTCTCATTCGGTTTTCAACCGCCTTTCTTTTGCCCGCATGAACAAAATTATATTTGTCAGTCATGCTGCTTCTCGAATCTAAGATTGCATTTGCACGAATATTGGGCCATCCTTATTGTCGAACCCTGCTTTTATGAAAACTACAACTTAAAAAAAAATTTCAACCAGCCAAAGTGGCTAGTGGAGGTGGCTGTCTAACCTGCCACAGCTAAAATCTACCTGCGTTTGGCAGGTGTTATTGTAAAGCCCTGCATGTCACTGATGACAAGATGACAGGTGTTTACTGTATGATGACCAAAATGGCCTTTATCACCCAGCAGGCACAAGACATCAACATGACAACAGATTGACATTGTACCCCAACTTCGTGGGGACGCTGCATTTTGTTTGGAAATGAAAATTGGGTTTACATCAAAACCCAACGTTAAGGCGTACATCAATGTCCAACGTCCAATCTGAAATCAACCAAATATCAACGTCTATTGATGTTACAGCTAGATGTTGTGTGGACGGTACCAATATGACCTCTATCAGATTTTAGATTTTAGTTGCCATATCTGACGTAAAATTGTCAGTATTTGATGTCAATATGACGTTGGTTTAAGATGTTGGCACAACGTGATTAATATGTAGATTTACACAGCTTGGCAGCCTCTTTAATTGTGTAAGATCACGTTTCTAAGAATTTCTCTTTTAAAGTTATAACGTGTCAACGTTTGGTCCAATGTCGAATCAATGGCACTTTTCTGAGTTTTCCGGGTTAGTTTCTGGAAAACCGAAAGCCAGATCAGTTCGAAAAGATATAGCAACTCAAGTCAGACTAGTCTAAATTTCTGGCCGAAGTTTGGTGGTCATAGCATTAAAGCCCTGGGAGGAGAAGTTGGTAAATATTGGGCTCAGAAAAAGGAATAAGTTTAGGTAGCATAACAGCATGTTGGCTTTCTCAGGCCAATAAAATAATAATAATAATTCTGACGTGAACTGTACTTTGTATTTTGCTGGACAAAAACTAAATCTAATATAATTTGTATTTTAATACTTTGAGACTGTATTTTATATCTGGCATAATAGGACTAGCATAAAAGTTCATCACATTTACCCGTCTGCCCTTTCAGCTGCAACCCATCACTGGGAAACACCCACACACTCTCATTCACACACATACACTACGGACAATTATGCTTACCCAATTCACCTGTACCGCATGTCTTTGGACTGTGGGAGAAACCGGAGCACCCGGAGGAAACCCACGCAAATGCAGCGAGAACATGCAAACTCCACACAGAAACGCCAACTGACCCAGCCGAGGCTCAAACCAGCGACTTTCTTGCAGTGAGGTGACAGCACTACCTACTGCGCCTCATGGTTTATCAGCTATTCTAATAGAGAAGACTCCAGATCTGTTTTTACATTACTGTAATGATTGGGTTTAGGGTTGGGGTAGATGTTAATAAAATACAATTAATGGGAAGTTTAATAAATAATATAAATAATTTCGACCACAGCCGTATATGATCTATAGCTGATTAACCATGTGGATGGATGATAACAGCCTTCTAAGCCTACTAGTAGGCCCAGAAGGACCATACTTGCCCATATCTATCAGCTGAAAACTACTAATAACTCCCATTCAATGGAGTGATAACATTTGAATGGGCTGAATAGTCCGACCCTGTCGACACTGGCTAATCACAACACATGTGACTTTTGTTCTTTTCTAAACACATTAGTCAAAATTATAAGCATTCGCTTTTCATCACAAAAAGCCTACTAACCCATACGATACATTCTTGAGGAGATAAACTTCACTCAAAAAATACTTTTTCTGCGTGTTCAAACTACTCACCAAATACTTGTAGTTTCAACTCATTTTAAATAACTTAAATGTTTTATGTTCAATCCACCTACATTTGTAAAAATGATTAAATTAACCTAATTGATTTGGGTTTGAACAGCAAGATGTTATTGTGTGGAACCCGACATTTTTAAACATATATAATGTTAAAGTATTAGATTATGATGTTTCCACATTATAATGACAAAATATGAGATTGTGCCAGGCAGTCTTCTGCATGTTTAATCATCGCATATAATTTGTCATTGCTTGAAAATGTAGCCCACCATAATAAATGTAAAATCTATTCAGTCTCAACCGAAAAGAACAGGATGTGGAGCCTTTAGAAACATCTCCAATCTTAAAAGATTATGGAAGATTGCATCTTGGAATGGTAAAATATCCTGAGTAGTGTTTTATGATTTATTTGATGCTAAATCATTCTAACCAATGTTGAACTTTGTTTTGTGAAATATATTTTCGCTTACAATTCAAAGGTAATAGGGTGTAGTCTAATCTAAAAATGTACCTGGATCTGCAAAAGTTACATTCAGCATCCCAATACAACAGAAAGAAACGTTCTCTCACATAAATCGAATACACCTCAAAAGAGTAACACTATTCAGTGGCATTTAGAATTTCCTTTCATTTCATTTGCATTCATGAATTCAGCGGCAACAGATCTAAAACATGCTCATATGATCCTATCCACAGCTGGAGAACTACATCGAGGAGAACCTCAAACAAGACATGGTCCAAATCCAAAATAATGCAGTGCAAAACCACACCGTGACCATGATCAAGATTGGGACCAGTCTCCTGAGTCAGACAGCAGAGCAATCACGCAAAATCACAACTGTTGAAGCACAGGTAAAGGTTGACACGTCTCTCTAATCCAGCCAGCAGTGGTTCAGTTTCAGGACCTAATAAGGCTCAATAATAATACCAACTTGACACATCAGTTAAATGTGTACTGTCATCAAATTAAATGAACAGTATAGATGGCTCAAAGGACAGCTGCTACTGCATTGCCTTAAATTACCTTTATAAGGTCATACAAAAGGAAACACAATGTTATTGCGTACACGTCTAAAATGTTCAAAAGATGATTTTAAAATTTAAGCTCAAGGGTTTTCTAGAGTAAAAATTGGTGTCGGCTGGTTTGGGGAGAAATAAAGCTCTGCTCACTTCATTGGTTGATAAGCATGTCACACAAAGAAAACAGTCATGCTTTTGTTTATAGATGAAAATGTGTCTAAACATGTTTATATATTTAACACAATCACTGATCAAATAAGGCCTTGGTGGGGAAAAAAAAAGGCTCATTCTGAAAACGTAGCCCTATATCCATTTCTGTACATCGCTGATTATGTAGCCAGATCTAGGTATGGCTGTATTTTGTCTTTTAAATGAATGCTGCAGGGCAATATGACGCTGTTGCTTTTCGCGCAAAAAATAAAATAAACAAGTAAATAACAGGGTGAGAATGTGGTTAAATTTGAAAATTTGGTAAAAAAAAAAACAGGCGAGGGATTTTCTTTTTCTGAATTGGTTTTTAAAACTGTTGGTTGGGTTTAGGGAAGTGGGTGGGCAGGTTAATCTGTGCTGTTGAAAACACTATTGGTTGGGTTCAGGGATTGAGGAGAGTTGGTCAGTCAATCAGTCAACAGCTGCCTCTGGTGGATTTATGCGAAAACAGCAGATACGAATGTCACTCGCGAGAGAAATTTGAGATTTAAAAAAAAATGTACACAGAAGCCTCTGTTGGATTTGCAAAAACAAAAAGTGCAAAAAAAAAAACAAAAAAACATGGTAGGTCTCCTGGGACGTATTTGGCACTCTTCAAAAACGCATATGGCGGTACGTTTTCAGAATGAGCCTGGGTTAAAAATTTAAATGCAGGAAAAATCCTGAAACTGTATTTTACAAACAAAAAAAGTAAAAAAAAAAAAAAAAAACTAAAGAAAGCTTAATTCACTCACAAGTTAAAGGTAAATTCTCATAGTTTGAAATGTTGTTTAGTTTACTTTCAGTGGTAAACCCAATGTCTATTTTTATCATTAGGTTATTAACCAAACAACTCGAATTGAACGTCAGCTTCTTGAGAATTCCATTTCGACCAGCAAGCTTGAAAAGGAGTTTCTTCAGCAGATTAATGAAATCAACAAACTAAAAGAAAAAAACAGGTAACAAATAACAAAGCTGCTTAGAAAAAAATAATAATAAAAAAACACCACTCAGTTAAATTCACATATAGCTTTTGCCATTTTTCCCCAAAGTTTTTTTTTATATTATCTTGTCCCCTTGTAGTTTCCTAGAGAAAGGAATAGAAGACATGGAAGGAAAGAGGAACACAGAGCTGGAGACCTTGAAAGAGGAGAAGGAAGAGCTGAAGAAGCTGGTGGAGATGCTGGCTAAGGTCATAAAAGAGATGGAGCAACAAGTGTCGAGCACATCCTCTGATAACACTGCCATGAAGCAGCAGCAGCAGGAGCTGACAAACACAGTCAACAATTTAATCCAAACGATCTCTGTGACAAGGCAAGGCAAGGCACATTTAATTTATTGAGCACAAATTTAATATAGCTATAATTGATCCGACAACCTTTGCAATAACATTAAATCAGAAAATTGAAGATAAGCAAGTAGAACACACTGAACTATTGAAGGTGATTTATGTCAAAAGAGCAGAAATAGCTACAGTACATAACAAGCGATAATATAAATAAAAATATTATATGAATTCAATAATGTAATAGCTATAAATTTATATGATATGCCTAAGTTAATACATTAAATAACTTGCCATTAGTATTTGTGTAGTATATAATCATATTATAATTCAATTTGCTTTAAAAAAAAAAAAAAGTATTATTTTACGTTACGTATTAACTTATTTAATAAATTTATTTATTTTGGTTTACCAATAAGGTTGCACTTTTTTCCAGGTAGCAATTCTGCAATGATGCAGGACAACCCAGATCAGTTAATTGACTGTGCTGTAGTTTTCAAGCAAGGGAACAAGAAAAGCGGTGTCTACTCATTGACCATACCTGGTACAAAACAACAGTTCAAGGTAACGTCCTTCACATCGATCACACTAATCAGGGTCATGAAACTCCCAAATACATTTTTGAGATGCTTAAAGACACAGGGCTCTATTTTAATGACCAAGGTGAAAATCTAAAGCGCATGGCGCAAAAGCATTAAGGGCATGCCGAATCCACTTTAGCTATTTTAGGGACGGAGAAATACGCTTTGCTCCTTGGTGCATGGTCTAACAGGGTTGTGCTCATTCTCAATGAGTTATGGGTGTGTTTTGAGCATAATGTGCATTAAACCTATCAGAGTCTTGTCTCTCATTCACCAAGAGTCCAATCGCACTATGGAGCATTTGCTATACATGGCGGACTTTGTAAGTAGAAAAACTGAAAGCTTCACTAGCGAGAAAACAGTTAAACAGAGCATCTACAGCGTTAGGATAAAGAATGAGCCTTCTCCACTCGGCCTCTTTACTTTTACACCTTTAATTTTGTTAAGTAAACAGTGTTGTATGCACTCCACTGAAGACATCCATTAGCCTACATATTTAATTTTGTCTGTTAAGAGCAAAGATTTGTTTCAAAACTATTTCTAAATTTAGTTCTTATTTACTGCAAATGAATAAATGAACAATAATAACAAAGCGGGGTTAAAAACCTTATATCCAAACACACGTCCTGCTCTTATCCTCCATATGATGATGCATTTGTCTCCAAAACCCTACAGGTGGACAAATCTAAACTTGTTTTTATTAAAACGACTATAAATATGCATATAATAAACTGCTAATAATAATAACAACATTATGCAAATGCAAGTTCTCACAAACTGAAAAAAGACCCCCCCCCCCATTTTTTTCAAATATAAAGATATTTGTGTGTTGCTGTACATCCTGTGTGTATTAAGCAATGTGTAAGCATTCTGACCTTCATCGGTGCATAACCAACACGCTTTGCACTGGACTTCAGAGCAGCTTTTAGTTGGTCAATGGCACGGTCTATTTCACTTCCTTAAAATAGCAACGTGTCAACGATGCGCCTTAACACACCTCCTTTTCAGACCAGCACGCCACAAAGTGGCTAAAATGGATTTGCTGTTTGAACATGGCACAAAACGTGAAAATTACAGTTGTGCTGGTCTAAAAATAGCAACAAATCGAGCCATACACGTCTTGCGGCTTATTGCACCGGGGTATGTGAGAGCCCATAGACTTGTACATACATCTATATATATACAGTTGTATATTATTAGTCCTCCTGTAGCTTATATTTTCTGCCCAATTAATGTTTAACAAAGGGAATACTTTTTGGCAACTTAACTGCCTTTATAGACTTCTGAAAAAGTGGCCAAAAAGGTTAAAAAAAAACTGGTAGAAAGCCTTGACAAATTGTGAATTTTTGTTTCCAGGCCTACTGTGACATGGAGACAGATGGAGGTGGATGGACAGTAATACAGAAGCGCTTTAATGGCCTTGTTGATTTTCATCAGACATGGAAAAATTACACCATGGTAAGGATTTAATGGCATCCACATCCTTTTTTGCTCTCTCTTGACAAATCGAAACTGCTCTGAAACATGAAATTGACGTATTTTTCTACTTCAGGGGTTTGGTGACATCTCAGGTGAACACTGGTTGGGGAATGAAATCATCTCCAAGTTGACACAAGAAAAACAACACACCCTTAGGATCGATCTGATGGACTGGGAGGGGAATATGGCCTTTTCAAAATATAGCCAGTTCTCACTCGATGGAGAGAAGCAGAATTACAGGTGACAAATTTACTTATGCTTAGAATATATGTAAGATTTACCCTGTGTCTCCATCTACAGCTGAAGTCAAAATGATTAGCCCTCTTGTGAATTTATTTTTAAATATTTCTCAAACTATGATTAACTGAGTAAGAACATTTCACAGTATTTCCTATATATATTTTTTTTCTTCTGGATAAAGTCTTGTTTGTTTTAGCCCCCTTAAGCATTTTTTTTTCTGTTGACTACAGAACATACCCAATTGCCTAATTAGTAACTTGCCTAATTAACCTAAATATGCCTTTTAATGTCACTTTAAGTTGAATACTTGTACCTTGAAAAATATCTAGTAAAATATTATGTACTGTCATCATGGCAAAGATAAAAAAAAAAACAGTTATTAGAAATTAGTTATTAAAATGGTAATGTTTAGAAATGTGTTGAAAATAATTCTCCAATTTTGGTTCTTGCAACACATTTAAAAAAAATAGATGGGACAGAAGCAATTTAGGGCTAGTAAATTGGTTAATTAAAGATGTGAATTGAAGCAGGTGATGTCAACAGGTGATTGTAATTGTGATTTGGTACAAAAGCAGCATCAAAGAAAGGTCTAGTCCTGTTTGCCAACAAATATGTGAGAAAATTAATGAAATGTTTCAAAACAATGTTCCTCAAAGAAAGATAGGACATTTTAGAAAGATAGGAGGACATGTGCAAAACATAATTAAGAGATTCATCAAATCTGGAGGAATTTCAGTGCCTAAAAGACAAGAGCGTAAGCCTTAACTGAACAACCGTGAACTCCAATCCATCAGGCGGCACTGCATCAAGAATTGCCATTCATCCATAAGCGATATCACCACATGGGCTCAGGACTACCTTTGTCAAGTATCACAATATGTACTTACATCCACAAATGCCAGTTAAAACTGTACTGTGCCAAAGAAAGCCCTATGTTAACAGTGTCCAGAAATGCCATCTAGGCATCTACCACCACACAGTGGAAAAGTGTACTGTGGTCAGTTGAATCTGAATTTCTTGGGTGAAATGGATGCTGTGTGCTGCGGACCAGAGAAGAAAAGGATCATCCAGACTATTACCAGCAACAAGTCCAAAAGCCAGGGTCTGTCATGGTATGGGGTTGTGTCAGTGCCCTTGGCAAAGGTAACTTGCACTTCTGTGATGGCAGCAGTAACGCTGAAAAGTGCAAAGAGATTTTGGAGAACAATATGCTGCCTTTTCCAAGGACGCTCATGCATATTTCAACAAGACAATGCAAAACCACATTCTGCACACATTACAAAGTCCTTGCTAGAGGAAGAGGATACAGGTACTTGACTGGCCTGTCTGCAGTCCTGACTTGTCTCCAATAGAGAATGTGTGGCGCATTTTGAAGTGCAAAATGCGACAATGAAGACTTCATATCGTTGTCAACACTTGTTTTCAGGAGGAATGGGACAAAACTACACCTGAAACACTTGTTGGTGACGTTGGTGTCTTCAATCCCTAAATGTCCTTTAAGTGTTGTGAAAGGAATGGCAAAATGACATAGTGGTAAACGCTTTACTGTTCCAACTTTTTTTTAAATGTGTTGCAAGAAACTGGAATACATATGAAAAAAAAAAATCATGAGGAACACGTTATCTAGGCGATGCAGTGGCGCAGTAGGTAGTGCTATCGCCTCACAGCAAGACGGTCATTGGTTCGAGTCTCGGCTGGGTCAGTTGGCGTTTCTGTGTGGAGTTTGCATGTTCTCCTTGCGTTTTCTCTGGGTGCTCTGGTTTCTCCCACAGTCCAAAGATATGCGGTACAGGTGAATTGGGTAAGCTAAATTGTCCGAAGTGTATGAGGGTGTGTGGATGTTTCCCAGAGATGGGTTGCGGCTGGAAGGGCATCTGCTGCATAAAAACGTGCTGGATAAGTTGGCGGTTCATTCCACTGTGGCGACCCCGGATTAATAAAGGGACTAAGCCGAAAAGAAAATGAATGAACACAATGAATAATTTTTGTTGTATTGTCTGCAATGAAATACAAGTCAAAGTAAATTGAGAAATTACTTCTTTTTTTATTTGCTTTTCCATACTGTCCCAACTTTTTCTGATTTAATGTTTTAAAAACTGTGTAGTTTTAAGCATTAATTTACACAAGATGGCTGGTATTCTAGTCAAAGGTCCCTCACTATGACAAGATCAACTTTAAAAGAATAGTACCGCCTAGTGGTGTATCAAGTAAACTACACTGAAGACAGTGAAAATGCCTCTAGTTTTACTAGTAAAAATGCTAAAAATACAGTAAAATTATAAAAAGTTTCCTTTATTCCTTTCCATTTTAGTACATCAAAACATTTGATGCATTAACACTAAATTAAGGAAACAGGATAGTTCACTGTAAAATTTCTATTTTTAACTTTAAATTTCAACCATAGCAGCCTTTTTATTGTAAACATCAGTGTTTTTTACACTGCAGAGTCAGAATATGTTGGATGGATTGCAGATATTGCACATAGTTTTAATGATTCTCCTAAATGTCAAAAATGCCATACTGTATTACAAGAGCAATTGCAGTAAATTGCAAGCTCTCAAATAAGCCTATACAAAAGAACTTCCTATCTTCTCACTTCGAAATTGCCTCTGCACGAACAGACTGTGTGCAGTTGCGATCTCTTTATGGTCTTATGGTAGAAAATATTTCTCTTGCTCCTGCAATAAATTCTACAAAATCTGTAAATATATTTTCCTTGTAAGGAAAATGCTAGAACTGGCAAAAACGAAGAACTGTGCTCATCTTGAAGAAAGCATTTTAGTTTGATCAATCACTTGTTGATAACAGAATTGAATCAAATGACTTTGACTCACGTGTGCATTTCTACTCTAAAGGATAAACCTCAATGGCTACAGTGGAACAGCGGGGAGAACCGGTAGTATGGGACAAACAGGAGGTGATTTCAGTGCAAAAGATCTAGACAACGACAAATGCGTTTGCAAATGCTCACAAATGCTATCAGGAGGTAAGAGCAACAGCACAATAACGTCCTGTTAACGATCCAGAAATAAATGATAAAGTGACAAGTGTTTCCCAAATTCTGTTGTAGATCCATAGTCTGATCCATGTTCATTAAAATGCACAACTGCTGTAATGATGCTCCTCAAGGGGGCTGAGTAATAGTAAAACACATAGCAAGGATTGAGAGAGTGACGACGATTTGTCAAAATACACATACGGTACGTTACTGAATTTAGTTTTCCATGTCTCTAAATATATATTTGTGTTGTATCGTTTAGGTTGGTGGTTTGATGCTTGTGGACCATCCAATCTCAATGGAATATACTACCAGCAGGGACAGAACACCAACCGGTTTAATGGCATAAAATGGTATTACTGGAAAGGTTCGGCATATTCACTAAAGGCTACAACTATGATGATAAGACCAGCAAACTTCTGAGCCTCTAATTAACACTGGTGTCACTGCTTTCCTGTCTAATTTGACCTTATAGTGTACTTCTGTCTAGAACAGTGGTGTCATACTCAGTTCCTGGGGGGCCGCAGCCCTGCACAGTTTAGTACCAACGTACCAACCCTGCTTCAACACATTTGCCTGTAGGTTTCAAACAAGCCTGAATGACTTAATTAGTTTGATCAGGTGGGTTTAACCCTTTAACTGTCTGCTCTACCAAATGGTTGACCATATTTTATTGTTTTAAATGATGACAAAGTAATCTAATGATCAAAACAGTTTTGGTTTACAATAAATAAATAAATAAAATCAAACAAACAATCCTGTTGCACTACTGCACTTGATTTTGGTTTATATATATATATATATATATATATATATATATATATATATATATATATAAATAAATGTGTATATATATATATGTATATATATATATATATATATATATATATATATATATATATGTTAAATGTGAATCTGAAATATTTTATGGCATACTTCAAAAAATAAAGGCCATTTATTATTCAAAAATGTTTTATTTTGATTCTTTTAAATAAATTAGTCTTACACATATTTTATTTATATTTTTCATAGTATATTTCAGTACTTTTACCATAAACTGACATATTTCCAATTTGGTGAAGGCTGATATTTAAAACAATTATGGGATGTGTTGAAATAAATGCATCGAGTGCGTTAACTAGTGACATTAGGAGTTGCAATCTAAAAAACTGAATTAGGGATAGAGCTAAAGTGTGCACAGCTATGAAAACACAACCAAGTGCAAATGAACAAAGGAGCTTCAATAACAGATTATAAGTTTATTTTAAATACGAAAATGTATTATTTAAGAAATGCTGTAAATTTTAAAGAAAAAGGTTCATAGGAGTTTAAAGTTTAAAGTTCAAAGGTTCATTAATTCCTCATGTAGAAACGTTGAATACTTCAAAACTACACTTCATTCTCAGTTTGCTTATTTTATTTTATTAAACAGAGTGTAAATATGACAATCTGCACAGAAGATGGCATTTTGCCATTTATTGCACCAGAGAGAGTTGAATGCACGTAGACTCGTCTTACAGTTTAAATGCACTAATAAACTGTACACATAATTCTAATTCTAATTGATTAGTACATTTATTTAGTGAAAGGCAGGTTTGTGAATGTATGTCATACATAAACTCATTGATGAGCTGGTAAAGCAAAGCAGTTTATACAGGGATGGAAACTAGAATTGAAAATTTTTGAAATAATGAAAATGCTAATAAAAATGTTGTTTTTATTCAGAAAGATGCATTATCTATTAACTTTTAGTTTAAAGGTGCATGTTTCACTTTCATATTTAATTCCTATACAGTGGCTGAAACAATCAAAAGTTTTATTTATATTTATTTATTTATTTTTGAAAGATTCTGTGTTTATTGTTGTGTTTTATTCTATCTGTACCAGTTTAGTGGGATATTAAAAGTAATAGGATCACTATAAAATAAATGAATGTTAATACATTATGATACCTTTGAAGATCTTGAAGAAAAATGTCCATCCTCAAGAGGAATAAAAAAAGTTGATCAAAGCAGCTGAGCAAAACTCTAATTTAATTAAAAAAAAATTTAAAATCTTATTTTATTATTTTTTTCCTAAACATGTCTGTAATATATGTGTTTAAGTATATGTGTCTGTAATGTATGTGCAATTTCTGCACTATTTATGAAGTCTGTTTTCAGGTTTCTTATTTGTAATGCTTGATTGAAATATAAATAAATCAAAATAATAATAAAATCTGTTGTGGATCGATAATTGAAGCTGGTGACAATCTTCTATACATGTATGAAATAAGAGCAAATAGTTTTGGCTGAAGCTAAAATTGTTTATGTATGTTGCATGCTTTCTGTTATGTTTATGTATGTGTGTGTGTGTGTGTGTGTGTGTGTGTGTATATATATATATTTATATATACACACACGTTTGTTTTTGTGAAAAGTGGGGACATTACATAGGTTTCCATTCATTTTATAGTGTCCAAACCTTATATTGTATTGCCCTCACCCCACCACACCCCTAAACCCAACCATCACAGGAGACTGTGTGCAGCTTTACTCTCTGATTAAACTCATCCTGTAGGATTTATAAGCATTTTAAGAAATGAGGACGTCACCAATGTCCTCATATTTCACCTCCTTTTTGTAATACCTGTGTCATACCTATGTCATTAGCACGCACGCACGCACACACACACATGCACGCACGCACATATGGGCAATATCACACTTGTAGCAGTGCTATGTGGCTGTATATCGGCACTGGTAGGAGGCATGCGTTGACACAAGGCCGCAGGCCGAGAACCTTTGTGTCCCACCAGTGATGACATACAGCCACATTGCACTGCTACGAGTGTGATATTGCGTTTATACAACAGTTAGACGCCACAATCGTGTATATTAAAAAGAAAATCAAACAAAGAGTCTAAAAACCCTTTTATATGAAGAACTACACTCTTCCGCCATTCATTCACATCTGCAGCTGATGTCAGAACAGCAGAAACCATTACTATTTCACAAACATCACTTTAGAGCTAATATTTTATTTAAAGTAACGAACAAACTTAATAAATACTGTACTTTAAAAAATGCATGTACTTACAGGTGCAGCTGGAAAATGTTCAGACAGCTCAAAAGGCTCTTCAGAAACCCACTGCTGGTGCTCTAAACACCACATGATCTGCGCAGACAAGCAAAAAAAAAAAAAAAAAAAAAAAACACTTAAGTACCCCTTAAATCTTAGAAAGGTGTTCCTCATAATTTAGAAAACAACAAAGAGCAGAACTAAACTCACCCATTCAAAGGAGAGGATCCAGCATCCCCGTGCGATGCCTAACAAGATATTAACAGTCCGCCGTGGGCTGCCAGACACCACATGAGAGGTGCTCTCACACACATCATCCACCACAGTAAAACCACCCAGATTTCTGATCACCTTGAAGACTACCTCCTGTTTTCTAAAAACAAGCACACAAGGTAGCAAAAATGATTGCTTGCCAAGTTTATTTCAAAGGATGTGAACAACTAGACATATAGGATTTTAACTGGTGCATGACCACAACTTTATCCAAAATTCCCCATAGTTAGAATATTCAACAAATATCAGTTTTACTCCATTCGTGTGTGGGCAATAATCAAGAATTAAGGTGAAAGAGGGTAAAAAAAAAAAGAAGTCATTATTTTGATTTTATGATGATGATTTTAAAATCTACTAACTTTTTCCTTTTCCTAATTTTATTTTAGATTACTCCCGGATTACGACCCCTGTGTTAGTCTTTTCTACTCTGTTTTTTTAAACGACAGACTGCCTATGTTTGACTTTGATACAATAAACTCTGTTAACCCGCCTATTTGTCCAGCATCCGGTCCATAATACATCAGCCTTTCCAATTGCATCGTGAACCCTGGTGCATTTACCTTAGATAACCAATAACATCAGATGCAGTTTACTTATGGCTACAGATTTCTGACACCTTTATGACATTCATGTAGGCTACTTAAAAAAAAAAATACAGACCATGACTAAAGATGGTCTCAGAGTGGGGGTCTCCAAAATTATACTGAAGACTTGGGTCTACTGTTGTGGGCATGAGTGCCGTTGAGTGCAAGGTGTGTATATTTAAGTGTTGGGGAAAATTACTTATAAAAGTAATGCATAACAATATTGAGTTACTCCCAAAAAAAGTAATTAGTTGCATTACATTTTAGTACATTACGTTACTTGTGAGTCAGTTTTACGTTGCTTTTTCTGCCCTGTCTGAGGCTTGATCTCTTTTAGAAGTGGCAGGTTTATTTTTTTCTTCTTCTTTTTTAAATAGAGGAGCTCTGCATTTAACAACATACTGTATAACCTCCATTTCCCTTAAAAAAAATACATAACTAAAAAATAACATAAGATAATGTTATCTTCAGAAAACTTCCTGACCCCAGCTATACATGCCATATATACATATTAATAAAAGTTTAAAGCAATGGGTTTGCTACTTTTGTACTTTGTCTTTTTAAAAAGTAAAATCACCGTCCATTCAGTAATCTTCTTTTCCTTTTCTTTCATATTTATAATGATGAGAATATTTCCAACGCAGAAATGTAAGGCTCCTCAATTCTTTCTGTTCCTGCTTTCTCTCATTGTGTGCGGGATTTAATGTGACTACGTTCATTTTAATTCAGCAATTTTTTAATACAAATTATTAAACTAAAAAGTAACTCGCATTTTTATAAAAGTAACTTAAATATTATTACTTAATTTTTTTAAAGTAATGCATTACTTGTTACTTAGAAAAGTAATATTACATAACTCGCAATAAATTTTTTTAAAAAGTAACTCAAACTATAACTTCATTTTGAAAGTAATATGTTAATATGTTTACTCGTCACTTAGAAATATAAAATTATTACGTAACTCCCCAACTCTGTATATAACCACCTCAAAAGATAGTGGCATTGTCATTTTGGGGGTCGCTGGCTGAAAAGTTTGGGAAACCCTGGATTAAAAAACATCTATACGCTAGTGGGCACCAAAACAGAGACAACATTCGCATTTAGAACATCTAAAAACATCAAAAGCTGGCACTTGGTCACTTCCGCCTACGGATCAACAATTTTTAGACATCAGCACATACTTCAGTTTCTCATCAAATCTTCTGTCCAATCAAATGCTCACTAATATCAGGCATGCCCCGCCCCCTTCTCATTTGCTTTTCATTGGATGCGTTTGATCTCACCCCTGTCACTAGCAGAGCTGTGATAAAAACAAAACACTATTGGCTGTTTTATTTAAGGGGAGGAGCTAACATATATCCCGTCCTGCCTTCATGTTTCAGTTGAGATTACGCCAAACATCGTATAAACAAAATAACATTTTAACGCACTTCACAAGATCTTTAATGTTCTACTAATGAAGAAATGCAGTTTATTAGCCAATGGCATTAAACAGCTGCCTAGCAC